TTATTACCTCATCAAATTCAGCAACTCGGATGATTTCATGCACACTCTAACCGGTGGTCCGTGGGTCATCTACATACACTATCTGATAGTGCAGCCATGGACGTCATCATTCTTAGTGGGTGAGGATTGAGTGATATTGGTGGTGGCCTAGGTTTGATTTCCTAGACTACCGATCCAATATTACCACAAAAGCATTTTGTGGGTGATTGCTAAGGTAATCAGAATGATTGTGCGCATCAATTACAACATGGAAACCACAGAGAGAGGAAGTTTGACCGATTTACTGCTTCGGTGGACCTCACAAAACTACTTATTTCTAAAATTATGATCGAATGACACTTACAACAGGTTGAGTATGAGGGCTTACCTATTATTTTCTTTGAATGTGGGTGTTATGGCCGCCTTCGAGAACACTGCCCTAGGATGGCCAAGGATGCCCCGATGGAAGGGGAAGGAGGAAAAGAAGCAACCAGCGGACCTATGGCATTGTCGGTGACGCCAGAAGAAAATTTTGGCCCCTAGATGTAGGTGACCCGTTGGGGGAAGGAAAGAAGTCAGGAAAGGAAAATTACTTGGAAACAATGAGACTTCTGGGAATCGTAGAAGAAACAACTCTGGATCGAGATTTGGTCTGATTGTCGAAATAAGTGATGTTAATCTCGACTCCAACAACCTACATACGATCTTAATAAAGCGGCGTACCGCCAGGGATAGAGCTGATAGGATTATTCGTAACTTGGGCTTTAACTCATATCACCGGGTAGACGCTCTTGGGTTTTCTGGTGGTATTTGGCTGCTCTGGAATGACCCATACCAAGTCAATATCTTGATTAATAATAACTAATTCATTCACATTGAGATCCAATATAACGAGAATGGCCATAGGATTTTGTTTATTGCGGTCTACGGGAGCCCCTAAGGCAGAAACGCCGCCACTTATGGGACTTCCTCAACCAACTTAGTATAACTATTGATGGCCTATGGTTACTTGCTGATGATTTTAACTCGATTTTGGATAGTTTAGACTGGAGGGGTGGGGCTAAGAGAAGTTGTAAAGGGTGCTTTTTTGTCTCTCAACTAGGAGAAGTTGGATAGTTCGGACTGGACTATATGGGTCTTACTTTCACCTGGCGTAGAGACACTCTCCTCCAACGTCTCGACAGGGCTCTCGCTAACATGACATGGCTGAGTACCTTCTTCGAGACATTGGTGCAACACCTTCCTAAAATTTAGTCGAATCATCAGCCACTTCTGATTAATACTAAGGTGAGTCACACGCAAAGCCGAAAACCCCAACCTTTCCGTTTCCTTGTGGCATGGCTTACTCATCCCAACTTCCCTATGCTTGTCCATAATAGTTGGCAAAGCGGTAGCTCTTTCCACCATTGGGCACTTATCTAAACAGGCCAAAGATTGGAATACTACCATCTTTGGTTATATCTTCAAAAAGAAGAAATGTTTATTGGCCTGTATCTCTGGCATCCAAAAGATGTTAAAACAAACTTACTCTAAGTATTTCATCAACTTGGAGATTGTCCTTTGCAAAGAACTTGAGGATGTGTTGATAAAGGAAGAATTATATTAGATGCATAAATTGCGGTTTGAGTTTATTTCATTTAGTGATAAGAACACGAAGTATTTTCGTGCGCGCACCATGGCTCACCGTCGACGTAATAAAATTGTTATGCTCTAAGACATTGAGGGGAGCCGGGTCTCCAACGACGTTCATCTCAGACACATGATTGCGAATTTTTTCAAAGAACTTTACTTCAGAGCTATGTTGGGTACTCCGACCTATCGGATCAGAGATAACTTCTCACCACTTACGACGATTATGCTTGACTTGCTTAATGCTCTTGTTACTAAAGATGAAGTTCGTTTGGTCTTATTTGCCATGAAACCTCTCAAGGCCCTAGGACTGAATGGTCTTCACGCGACTTTTTTCTAGCACCACTAGGGGGTTATAGGGGACTCGATTTGTTAGATGGTGATGAAAATTTTCCAAGGGGCTGAGCTGGAAAAGGGCATTAACAAGACCTTAATCACTTTGATCCTCAAGGTGGCAAGGCCCACTACTATCAAGGACTTTCATCCTATTAGTATCTTTAACGTCTCTTATAAAATTATCACCAAGGTTATTGTTAACAAGCTCAAGAGCATCATGCCTAGCCTCATTAGTGGTACACAAGCAAGTTTTGTGGAGGGTTGGAGTATCTCAAACAGCATCATTGTGGCCCAAGAGGTCATTCACTATATAAGACGTAAATTTGACGAGGTTGGTTGGATGACGATCAAAGTAGACCTTAAAAAAACTTACAATAGACTCAACTGAGATTTTATTAAGGATATCCTCTGGGATGTTGGCTTTTCCACAACCCCTTGTTAGAGTTATTATGTAGTGTGTTTGCTTCGGTTCCATGCAGTTTTTTTGAAATGGGAAGACCACTAAAGAATTTGTGCCTTAACGTGGCATTTGTCAGGGTGACCCTCTGTCACCGTACATCTTCATGTTATGCATGGAGTGCTTCTCACAATACATTGACCAGTTAGTTAATTATGAGACATGGCTTCCGGTTTCCCCAAGTAAGAGGGGCCTCAAACTTTCACATCTTTTCTTTTTGTCGACAACTTGATCTTTTTTAGTTGCACTTCGACTAGGCATGTTTAACTCATCAAGACTGTGCTTGCTGATTTCTGCGAAAGCTTCAAGTACAAGATTAGCATGTCCAAAACCCATATCTATTTTTCTCTTAACATTGCGGCCAACGAAGTTATTAGAATCAACAATAATTTTGGTTTTTAGGCCTCGACAGATCTGGATATGTATCTTGGGGTTCCCCTGCTCTATAACAGAGTCACGAAGAACACCTATAGGTATATCCTTGAGAAGGTTCGGGTAAAATTCTCTGAGTGGAAAACCAACTGCCCTTCCCAACTCACTCTGGCCAAATTTGTTCTCATGACTATCCCAGCTTATGTAATGCAGACCATTGCCCTTCCCAACTCACTTTGTGATTAAATTGATCGCCTTGTGTGGGATTTTATTTGGGCCTCATATAGAAATAAGAAGAAGGTTAGCTTGGTTAGTTGGTAAGAGATGTGTCGCCCCACTATTTATGGTGGGGGTGGCCTCCCTAGCCTTAGAACACTTAATAAGACTTTCCTCCTGAAGGTGGACTTTGCTATCTTGATCAAGCCGCACCTTCTTTGGGTCCAAATTCTGTGCCACAAATATAAGTGGGACTAACCCTACAGCTCTCCCCCTAGCTCGACTATGTGCTCCCACCTTTGGAAAAAACTTAGTGGTCTTTGGGATAAGTTGATCCATAAGCTGGCTTGGCATGTTGTAGACGGTAATACTATGAGGTTATGGGATGATAACTAGTTAGTCAATTACGACCCATTCAAACTCCTTGCCTTTCAACTTATCACTGATATACAGGGACTCATGCGTGTTAAGGATCTAGTGACATCGACCAGCTAGTGGGATTAAAATCTTCTGCAGAATATGCTCCCACACAGTGTTCTTATTTAGTTGGCTATTGCTAGTCCTCACAAGAAAATAGAGGGGCTGATGCTCTATATTGGGGCCTTTCGCCCGACAATAAATTTTCGATTAAATCTGCTTACTACATGCTTACTAATATTTATCCTCTTTTTACAAATAATAGATAGGACTTGATGTGGAAATAGTCGGGCGTCCATTACATTCATCACTTTTTTTGGCTGGTCTTGCAGAAGGGCCTTCTCACGAGGGAGGAACGAGTTCGCAGGCACATGGCGGATGATCCTGGCTGCATGGCCTACGTACTAGTATTGAAGATCTCAACCATGTTCTAAGGGGTTGTCATCAGGTCCATAATCTTTAGCACAAGATCATTTCTTAGTCTGCAGGCCTTACTTTCTTTAGTGTTCCTTTTGATGCCTGGCTCTCCACTAACCTACAGAACAAGTTCAATTGGTGCTTGTCCTTCAAAGATTGGAAGACTGTGTTTGGTATCACCTGTTAGCTCCTTTGGAAATAAAGGAATGCTTTCATATTTAGGGATAACCCTTCCAGTTTGGAGAAGCTTAAGCACGAGATCCTCAAGTTGACAGAGTACACCTTTTAGGCTTCTGTCATTGGGACGACCATATCCGGTCATCATACTAGTAAAGTAGAAAAACTTATCAACTGGACCTCGCCACCTCATCATTGGATTAAAATCAACACTAATGGCGCTCTCTCACTGATACGGTTTGTGCGAGTGTCATTGACTGTGATAACAACGGTCAGTGGCTTGGGAGTCACATTAGAAATATTGACACCTGCACCATTCTCCAAGTTGAGCTCTGGATGGTCTTGAGCTGACTTGGAATTTAGGTTCGTGTTGTGTGATTTTAAAAATGAATAATTCTCTTATTGTTTAACTTTTGAATTGTGCCCTCAACAAGGAGCAAATCTCCATCAATACGAATTCTCACATGATTCTAACTATTCAGTCTTGGTTGGTGAAAGATTGGTATGTCAAGGTTTCATATGTTTATCGTGAGGAGAATCATTGTACCGACCTCCTGGCCAATCTAACCGTTTCCTTTCCCATCAAATCTTATTATCTGCAGCGGCCACCTACTGAACTTCTGAGTATCATTTGAAAGAATTTTACTGGAATTTTCTAGCTTAAAATATGTACTCTTTAGTTGTTTTTTTTGATTTTTTTTTTTTTTACCTTTGTATTAAAAAAAGAAGAAGTAAAAATCTAATCAAATAATTACCTAAAAAAATGACTTTTTTATATAAAAAAAATAACTCTCAACTTGCCCATGGTTTTGGCCTGTAGGTATGCTTTGTTTTTTTTGGGAAGAAAATTAAAACGTAAACGAGGATTTCGAAGTAAAACGGTCTTATTGAGAGCAAAAAATGAAGAAAGCCGTTAAGTCACATGCATGGCGCAACGTGGAATGAGTTTATAGATGATAGAAATAAAAAGACACATTTTCACTGAAACGGCTGACGCCCGGTACCAAAATCATGCTTCTAACACCTCTCCACCTCATATCCAGCCAACTTTCCTCACCCACAACCTACAACGGTAAACTCTTCTCCCCTTCCCATTCCCCGTATATATACATCTATATACACTGTACTTGCCTCAACACTATCAATGGAGTACCCTAAAACATTATTCATGATTCTGATGGCTTTTGTTTGTACATCTCGTGCCGTGTTTTTCTTTCCTGTTGGTGGTAAAGATGGCTGGGTCCTCCATCCTTCTGAAGATTACAATCACTGGGCTCAACGAAACAGGTTTCAAGTCAACGATACTCTCTGTAAGTACACCCAATTCAAACCTTCTTCCTCTATATTATATCATCAATATATAGATATATCTGCGTATGGGTGTTTGTATGTGTAGATTTCAGGTACAAGAAAGGAAGCGACTCTGTGTTAATCGTGACGAAGGATGATTTCGACTCCTGCAACATAAAAAACCCTATCAAGTCACTCACCGACGGCAACTCCACTTTCGTCTTTGACCGTTCTGGTCCGTTCTTCTTCATCTCTGGAAATTCCGATAACTGCAACAACGGCCAGAAGTTGGTTATCGTCGTTATGGCCGTGAGAAACAAAACCCACCACCACCAACAGCCTTCTCCCGCTCCTTCTCCAGTCGTCGTCGCCACTCCTCCTGCTTCTCCGTCTTTGGTGCCGGAGGCTCCAGCAGGGTCGCCCCGCCCCGACTGGGGCCCAAGTGGTTTCGGTGCCCCGTCCCCCGGCCCCGTAGACAACAATTCGGGCTCGACCCGTTTGGTCGGTGGCCGTTCAGGAATTGTCTTGGGGATTATTGTTCTGGGTTTTATTGGGACTATATTGATTTAATTTATGATGTTCATGTTTTCTTTAGTCTTTGGTGAATGGTGAGGGATTTGTAATCTTTCGGTTTCTCTATATATAATAATTTAAATGACCCTTTTCGGTTGTTAAATTATTTTGTTAATTGATTTCTGTTTAATTAACTTAATGTTTTACCAGAACATTATTAATTACATATACCCTTTTAGTATTACTATGTACCCTTAATGTTTTACCAAAACATTATTAATTACATAACTCTTTTTCAGTGCTTGTAAAACGTCGGTAAGCAATAATAGATACATACATATATACATATTTATATATATATAGTTGGTTATATATATAGTATATTAGTAGTGAGGGTGGAATTAAGATGGAAGATACCTAGGAAATTTTGGAGAAAGAAACGGGCAATCTCTCAACAAACGCAACATTTGCATGCGCTAAAACGTGAAATAGGTTACATCACATACCAATTACAAAACGCAAAACCCTTCTCCCCCAAAAAAATAAATCCACACCAAAAAACCCCCCTTGCATTTCCCCACCAACAAAAACTCATCTCCTTCATCCTCTCTAAATGAACACCTTTCACTTTTTCATGGTCTCCCTCATCGTCATCTCGGCGATTCCATCTAGTGCATCGCCTTATGGTACTATTCAATTTAACCGACGTACAGTTTTTTCGAACATTCACTGGCATGATAGAACGAGTATCAATAACGAAGATCGCAATGCACAAATGTGTAGTGGTCTTTGGGTTTCTAATTGCATTACTAAAGGAGAAATGATATCTACGGAGTTATCATCATCAAAAGGTAATAGTAAACGTAGAAATTTAGCTACTGGAAAAAGGTATATAAGCTACGATGCGCTTAAGAAGAATAACGTACCGTGTAATCGTAAAGGTACATCTTATTATAATTGTCAATCACATCAGAAAACTAATCCTTACAAGCGTGGTTGCAGTACTATTACACATTGTTACAGGTACACCGATTAATTAATTATGTTTTTAAATCTAATTATCTCCTGTATTATTAATTTCGTTGTGTTTCTCTCTTTATTTTAATAAAATCATCGGGTCTTCTTTTATATTTGTAGAATAATCTTTGTAATTAGTTATTATTTTTAATCTTTTGCTATATTATGATAAATGTAAATCTCATTACTGGGTTTCACACCCTCGTATCATTAGAGAAATTTTAATTAACTGAATTTACTGGATTAAATTTCTATAATCTTCCTATATTAAGTTAATTAGTATCTACTATTATTGTTTTCTACTTTTCTTTAATTTAACAACAATTTGACTGCTTTTTAAACTAACAAATTTTGGTTTTATATAAAGTATTAGAAAAATAAACTAAATTATAATTAAAAAATATTTTAAAATTAATTATGGTTCAAAAATTAAATTAGATTAGATCATTATTTGCGGTTTGTAATTTTAAAAATTAATAATATAATACATAAATTGAATTAAATTCGATGTTTATGTTTAAATATTCTAATTATTTTATATGTCATTAAAATTATTTTAATATTTTAATGATGTAGTTAATTAAAAATTAGATCTTATTTTTAATTTTATCTCTACATAATATATATAAAATTGTATCTATCACATTAATTTTCGTTTTTGTATTCTAGAATTTGAATGAATAATATTTAAAAGAATTTTACCTTAATATAATATATATCTTAAAATTGATTAATTAATTATTATGAAAATAATAACTCATAATATGGAAACGAACATGAACAGTCTAATAGTATTAGAAATTGTAAAATCATAATAGTTAATGATCGATCTGCAACATAAAACCAAACTCCTTTTGAGTTTTTGATAAGTATCAAGTAAATCACTTGATTAATGAAAGTAATTAAAATTTAACTAAAATTAAGTAAAAATATATTAATAAAATAAAAACAAATAAAAATAATATTTCCACTATGTTGGCGAAAAGACTATAATATCCTTGAAAAAGACGTCAGACGTGTAATGTACAATCCTGCTCCTTGTTTACTGAGAAGCTTTCCTTGGCAATGCTCTCATTTTCCTTGGAAAAATCCTCTTTTCTTTTATACCTCAACTCCCAAGCTTCCCTCCATTTTTCCTCACCATGCCTACTCATCATCCCTGCTAGCATCCACCAAACTTCGTATCTCTACAATTTCTCTCGCCGACTCAATCCCCCGATTCAGCAACGCCTAGGGTTTCAAAGCTACCGTCACAGCGGTACACTTCCTATCTTCTCTGTTGTTTGTCCCTTTTACTTGCTTGCTTCTCTCTCCCTGTTCCTGCTTTAAGTTTATATTATCGCTTCAATTTCAAGTTAGTTTACTGCTGAACATAGACTGAATTGTGTCTAGACCAACAAACTTCTTATCGGGATCCTTTTCGTAGGAATGATCATAGAAGTTGAAGTTGGAGCTTAACGTGTTGCATGTACATGGCCACTGAACTAAGCCGTGAATTGATGAAACTTTAGCATTTTTTTGGAGTTTCTTTCGGCACTTTGTTGCTGACATTTTTTTTTTGTTTTCGAGTTGCTTATTGGTAAATTATGAACTTCCATAAAACGAAATGTTCATATTTCTGTGGCGCAGAGGAATAACCAATAAGTTGATACTTCATAGGATTGGGCTTTTTGTCAAAATTTGATGTCGTAAATTTATTCTACAGAAATCCATGTAGAAGTATGCATAGGTTGATTTTTTTTAATGAGTAATTAATTGGCGGTAAGATTTGGTAATTGTATAAGATGGTAATTATCAAATTATAGCATATTTGGGAAGATTGTTTATTAATGTATGATAATAATAACGATTTTGTTTGGATTGATAAGATGATATGGTTGTATATTCAGTCAAATTAACAATTTATTCATATTTTATTATATGTAATATGAAATGAAAATGTATAAGAAGAAAAAAACTCATTTAACTTGTAAAATTATTTAAATTGTAATTTTTAATAAATTTTTTCTTTAAAAAATTATAAATTAAATTTAATATGAAGAATAAAAATTTAATTTTTTATTATTTAATATAAAAAAATAATTTAATACTATAATTTTTTATTTATAATTATAAACTGAAAAAAATTTTAACAAATCATCTATTGAATAATATTTAGTATTATAATTTTCATGACATAAATAAATTAAATAAATAAATTTTATTAAGAATAATTTTCAGTTTTGCTAATTTGAATAAGGGTAATATAAGAATTAATAAATAATTGTGAGGGTAAAACAAGAAAAAAAATTTTTAACTGTTAAAAACCACCAAATAGGTGGTTTGAAAAATTTGAAAAAAATGGAGAAATAAGTTATCATTACAAACCTTTTAACTAAGCATACCATCTATTTGAAAGTGATCCAAACAAGACAAACCAGTGAATTACCATACCACACATTAATAATCTAGTAACCAAACACATTGATAACCGTGCATTATTATAATTTAAGATCATAGGCTCTTTCCCCACAATAGTGGGGTGGACAGTCCTCTGAGTTATGAAGTTAGGAAAGCTGTGGCTAATGTGGTACTATTGGAGTCGGGATACTATCAGTTTTTTTTTCAAAGAAATTACTTTAAGAAGCACTGCTATAGATTGTTTGCGTACGTATGTGGTAATGGAGGTTTGTCTTTTCTTGGAGGAAAATTAACAAAGGTGCTTAAAGAGAGGAAAGTCTTTGTTTAATTATTGGAATTATAAAATAGGAGCCTCTTTGTTGGAGTCTGGATTCTATCAGTTGTTTTTTTTTTGTTTTTTAAAGAAATTACTTAAAGAAGCACTGCTATAGATCTTTGCATATGCATGTGCTAATGGAGGTTTGTCTTTTTTTGGAGGAAAATTAACGAAGGTGCTTAAAGAGAAGAAAGTCGTTGTTTGATTGTTAGAATTATAGAATAGGAGACTCTTTATGGTGATAAAAAACCTACTCCCCTCTTTCTATATTCTTTTCCCCTTCTTATGAATTTTATTTCTTCTGGTTTGTCAAATTTCTCATATAGGTGTACAAGTACATCTTATTATGGATGTTCAAGATGTATAGGGGTGGTACCCCCGATTGTTTGGTACCATGTTAATATATTTTACACTTTTTATTTCAAAAAAAAAAAATTATGGATGTTCAAGATATGAATGAACATGCTGAAGAGAAGAAGATGCTGCCACCACCAGCTGGAGTCTTTCAGACTCGTGAAGACCTTCTCAAACATGTCCGTGACTTTGCCCTAGTTCAGGGATATATGGTGTCCATTAAAGATTCTTCAAAGGATAGGTATGTGACTGTTGCTTGTGATAGAGGTGGTGTTTATCGTAAAAGGCTAAAGACTGGTGAAAATATGCGTCAAAGGAAAGCAGCTTCGCGCCTCACAAATTGTCCCTTTTAACTTGTGGGCAAGAAGGATGATGATGTTTGGACACTCATGATTAAAAATGGAGAACACAATCATGAGCCTTCAAAACACATGTTTGAGCATCCTTCTTGCCGTCGTTTTACAAAAGAGGAAGTGTTAATAATAAGAGAAATGACTGCAGCTGGAAAGCGCCCACGTCAAATACTCAAGGCCTTTAAGGCAAAAAAATCCATACCTTGTATCAGATTCAAGGAATGTATATAATGTGAAAGCTAAAATCCGTCGATAAAGTCTAACAGGTGAGAAGTTTTTTAGATTTGGTTTCTTAATTATTTTTCCATTTTCTACTTAATTCTACACTTCAAGTTCAATGCAAATGATACATGACTTAATATTTTAACTTGCTGGTTTGCCATAAAGAATTAAATAATTGCCTTAATACATGACTTAATACTAGGAGTTGTCTGAGTGGCTTTGTTGCATTTCTATCAATTTGTTCCTTTCTGCTGTCCAAAAGGAGCAAAGATATTATTATTGTAGCTTGTTTCACTTGGCATTAGATGACAATGGAGAAAGGAAATCTAGGTTATCAAAATCTTACACTTCACTGCAAATAGAATTTGCCACCTTCATTAAATGGAAAACTGCTTTACAGACTGGCTTGTGAACCACTTCAATTTTATTTATTTACAAGTGAGGTGATATTTGCAAATTCTGTGAGATTGGTCTTTTGTCTTGTGTAGGCCTGCTAAACAGATGTTTGGAATGTTGAAAGTTTGATTACTTCAACAATTTTTTTTGAAATAAATTACTTCAACAATATATTATCAAATAACAAGTATATGGCAAATTGACATTCTGATGCTAATTTGCATGTTATGAGTTGATATCTTTCCTTAGATCCATTCGTAACAAATTCTATTTTTAAGCTTGATTGAAGCGTAAGAGGAAAGAGTGGATGTTTAGGTTAAATTTCCTATTATTAAAGTTTATTTTCAGTTAAGTTTGTCAGCGTCAGTTAAGAGTTGGTGGACGTGCTCTAATAAGAGAACTAACCCAGCTTGTTCTATTGACAGATTCCTAGTGTCAACCTCATGTCCGCTTCAAGTCAGGTATGTGTCAAAAGCTGTCACAAAGAGTCATATCGGATCATTTTCCTATATGCCCGAATTGGTTGGGATCAAGTAGGACCCTTGTCCATTCAGATTCGAGGACAAATGATTAAGAACAAATGTTTTTTGTGAAAAGGTTAAAGAATGGTGGAAGGCAATGGGGTGAATGGCAAAACCAGTTTCAGAGTAGCACAAAAGTTGAAGGCCATGAAGGCTGCAATTAAGAAATTGCGTAAAGAAGAGGAACAGAGAGAGCACAAATCACAATTATTACTTTAGGGATTTGGGACAATATATGAGAAGGAAGCCGAAGATGCTTTGTCTATTAAAGATTTGGCTTGGAAAGAATGTATAAAGTTGGAACTGGCAAACAAACTACAAATGGAGGAGATGTCTTCGAGACAAAAGTTGAAAGCCAGATGGATAAAAGAGGGGGACTGAAACACTAAATTTTCCATTGTGTGGCTAACAGCCATAGAAGATCCAACTATGTAGAGAAGATGAAGATTGATGGTAGGATAGCAGAAGGTAATGAGAGTTTGCGGCAAGGAGATAGAGATTTTTATTGCAAATTGTATTATGAAGAATTTAATTGGAGGCTTAAATTAGATGGTCCCAATTTTAACACATTGGGCAAGTTGATTAGGAATTCAATAGAAAGAGAGTTTACAAAAGAGGGAATCTATGAGGGGCTCATGCGATGCAGGAAGGATAAAACTCCTGGCCCCGACAGTTTTAATATGAATTTTTTGCAGAAATTTTGATATCTGGTAAAAAAGGATATCGTTGAGCTGTTTAAAGAAATGCATGAGGAAGGGTCTTTCGTGAAATCCCTTAACTCTACATTTGTGGTATTAATTGCCTAGGTGGAAGGAGAAGTGAATGTTAAGGAACTTCAGCCAATAAGCCTTGTAGGTTGTGTTTATGAACTTACAGTGAAGGTGCTAGCCAGGAAGATGGTAAAAATGTTGAATAAAGTGGTAGGGAAATGCCAACATGCATTCATAGAAGGATGAGAAATCATAGATGCAGCTTTGGCGGCTAATGAAGTGGTAGATGAGCTGTTTTTCTGGAGAAGAGATGGGGTGCTGTATAAACTTGACATAAAAAAGGTTAATGATCTTGTCAAATTGGGAATTCATTGATTATATGCTAGCGAGTATGGCTTTGGAGTTAAATGGCGTAAGTGGATCAATTCGTGCATTACTAGAACATCATTCTTGGTCATGATAAATGAGGGTCGTCGTCTTTTTTTAGGGCATCTATAGACTTCAGATAAGGAGATAACTTATCCCCTTATTGTTTATTATTATCATGGAAGGTTTGAACAAGTTGTTGTTGAGAGCCAAGGAACTGGGTTTGTTAATAGGAATCATAGTGGGAGAAGGAGAGATATATGAGAAAATAACATATTTATTTTTTGCTGACGACACCTTGGTGTTTTGCAATCCGGAATAAAAGTCACTAAACTTTAGATGCGTCCTGCTCTAACTGCTTTTCTTTTCTCCTCCCTCCATATCTGCTCTAATATACTTCAATAAAAAAAATGATGAATGTAAGATCAAACTTACAAAATGATTGGTGGGAAGAGCCAACGTAGGTGGGAGCACCTAATCTAGGAGTTGAAGAGGATGCTGCAAACAAGTTGCAATTTTTTCCCTCCGTCAACATCAGCTTTTGTTTTTTGAAAGAAAAGTATAGAGAATATATTGATATGAAGGCGCCAAGGGGGAGCCGCCCATGTACAAAAGATTTACAAGTCAGTGAGAATATCTACAATTGACCCTAAATCGTCAAAATGGTTAAGATTATGTTCCAAAACAGTGGAACCAAAAAAGTGTAGCCATTTGCTCACAGTGTTACCAAAAATTTCTTCATTTTCTACAAAGACTCTATTGTTTCTCTCTTTCCAAATAGCCCAGAAAATACTGAGCGGTTTGAGTCTGAATTTCTTATTTCTCCTGCACACCAGTTCCCAGGTGAATAATTCTTCTTGAACAGAACTGGCCATCATCCAACAAATGCCAAGGAGACTGTAGACCATAGACCATAGCTTGTGAGTGATAGGGCACCAAAGCAAAAGGTGATTACTGGATTCAGCATTGTTTTTCCATAGATAACATCTGTTGGTTAGGGTAAAGCCTCTTTTCATGAGTTTGTCAATGGTCAAAATGTATTTCTTGGATGCTTCCCAAGCGGACAAGGATATTTTAGCAGGAGCATTTGCCCTCCAAATCATTTTGGCAGGAAAAGCTTTTTTCTCAAGACTGTTATGTCCCGCAAGGTAATTATAGAAGGATTTTACGATGAAGGATCCTTTATTTTCCAACTGCCAGACCAACTTGTCATCGGTGCTGTTGAGCTGAATGGTGTTCAGTACTGCCAGCAAATTCTCATATTCCACAATTTCCCAATCGTGTATATTCCTATTGACCACAATGTTCCAACCAATGCCATTATTTTTATCAAAAGCTTCCTCAATGGTCATATGTTTATCCTTAGAAAGGGCAAAACTAAGAGGAAACCGGGTCTGCAGATTGGAATTCCCACACCAGAGGTCAGACCAGAACTTGATTTTGTTGGCTTTTCCCACTTTCCATCTAGAGCACTCAAGAATAGAACTTTTAGTGCATGAGATGCCCTTCCACAAGCTCATACCGAATTTTCTTTGATCCAACAACAGCTGATTCAACAGTTGAAGTCCATACATTTAAATACTTGAGATTTGGAATTCTCTTTTTGAAAGATTAAGATCGGCCAAGGAGGATCTTTTAGATTCAATGACGATTCTCCTTGAATTTGGCTGCTCTTTTGGGGTGAAAAATTTAAGGCAATAATATTTTCTTGCTTGGGAAAAGAACCCTCATGGTTTAAGGGAATTTTCCATAAGCTTGTCTTGGCTTCTTCCCTTAATTAGGTGAGGATGCATGCTGAATTTGCCTATGGCCGAATGGGCTTATTCTTCTTCCCTTGTAGGCTTCCATGCTTGGTCCAAACCCCTCTTTCTTACTAATCCATCCCTTAATATAACTAAAGAAGTCTTCCTCAAGCCTCTTGGTCCATGTTCTTGTGTTTGACCCACTTATCTTTAGGATGCTTTTCTCATGTGTTCGAAGCCCATCATATGAGACTTTCAAGCTTTGCTTCCCTCCATATGGGCATTGTTTATAGCCCAAAACACTTTGATCACCCATATAACAACCCATGCTGTGACCTATTAAGAGTATAAGGTCGAAGTTGCCCGTGCTTACATCAACAACTTTTCTCTCTACAACAGTCCCTCCTCTGTATTTTCAACCTTTTCCCTCCCCAAATCTGCTCTTGTCTTCTTCTAAAGTCTTTTTTACTTTTGCTGCAACTCTTCTTCTTCCTTAATTTCTTCACAAATCAGGCCAAGTTCCTAACAAACTCAAAAATATTTTATTGAATAATTAAAGTCTCCCCCACAAACTGAAATCATAAAGATAGTTATAATATTTCTTAAGTAACTTTTAATAAATTAGATTAAATTTAGAAATACTAATACTAACAAATAATACTACTAATACAACTATAAAATTAAAGACTAATAAGAATAAAATACTGAAGTTACTAAACTATAATTGTAGTCTCTGGAATAGTTTTCAGTTTTGTATTTGTAGGAATCCTACTTCTTGTAGAAACCTAATTCTTGTACAGATTGGTATCAGAGAAGTCTCCTATAAAGCAAAATCATAGTCGACTTCCATAACAGGATGTTCTTTTTCTTTTATGGGACTGATTTGTCTTTAGTTTTTTTATTAAAATTCTCTATAATTTTTTTCTATATATATCTTGCTATTTTAAATTAAATATCATGAATAAAAAAATTTAGTAAATAGAAAATTTAGTTAGAAAATTCAGTAAACAGAAAATTTAATTATAAATTTTCACTGCTTAATAGAATTATGGTTTCTAATATATTTAGGCAATCTAGAGTTAGTCTATTCTGCATCATGGTAGCCCATATTATGCAATTTAATC